CCATATGTCAAGGTGTCAATATGTCATATGTCAGGTGTCAATCCATATTGATTGTGATTTAGGAATGTTAGGTGATTTCTGCCCTTTATGGATAAAACCAGACTCTGTATCAACTGTGTAATTTTCCATGGGAGTTTTGCCATGGATCCCCCTCCGGCATGCCACAGTCCAGGTGTTAGTCCCCTTGAAACAACTTTTCCATCCCTATTGTGGCCAGAAAGAGTCCCTGTGTGTTTTAAAATTCGCCTGCCCATTGAAGTCAATGGCGTTTCGGGCGGTTCGCCGGTTCGCGAACATTTGCGGAAGTTCGCGTTCGCCGTTCGCGAACCGAAAATTTTGGGTTCGCTACATCACTACTGATAAATTGAACCTAGGACAAGAACTCTATAATCGGGTTCCATATGCCATCCAACCACACAGTACCAAGCCATGCTACGTGAGAGCCCAAGGAACCACTTTGAAACTGTCAACTCACTGAACCTAGCCATTTTGCTCCCAGAACCTGAACAGGGTCTTGCAACTGGTCATGGGCCTACTTGTCAACATCTACACTGACAAGTATGCATGCCTTACAACTCATGCCTATAAAATGTAGGTGTAATTTAGGAATGGGGCCTACTCAACTCTGGAGAAAAAAAGACATCAAGCATTCATCTGAAATGTTGGCACTACTCGAAGTGGTCTGGGCTTTTGCCCAAGTTAGCATCGTCCATTGCCGAGCCCACCAGAAGGGCGAAGCCCATGTGACTATTAGAAACAGGCTGGCTGACGGCACAGAAAAACCTGTCGCTATGAAAGACTCTGTATCTCATTCAACCCTGCACTGCTGATCTTGGTACCCACCTCTGACATGTCACCCCTATATAGCCTAGCTGAACAAAATAGCTGGAAAACAGAACCAGGCCATTCCTTGAATAACAAGTGGTACCAATTAGAAGATGGGAATAGAGTCATATCCACTTCATTGGATGCAAACATTGCCCGTCTACAGTAACACATGCAGTGGTCAGAGGATGCATGGAATGTGCCAAAAATAGCCCCAACAAGGACCAAGCCAACTAACAGGGAATCAAACTGTTGGAGCATTACCTATATCTGATTTGCTCATTGACTTTACTGTCATGTCAGAATTTGGTGAATTCCGCTATATCCTTGTCAACGTATGCTCTTAGTCTGGCTGGGTAGAAGCCCAACCCACCTGAACCAAAAAAGAAGAAACAATAAAAGAAAAACAAAAATGGTCCGTTTCCTGCTTACTGAAATAATGCCAAGATATGGAATCCTGATAACGTTTGGTTCGGACAATGGCTTAGCTTTTGTACACAAGTGCCTGCAGGAATTAGCCACCAGCCTAAGTCTTAAATGGAAACTGCAGATTGTCTATAGGCCTCAAAGCACAGGAAGAGTTGAGTGATTTAACAGAACACTGAAGCTACATCTGGCTAAAATGTGCCAAGAAACCAACCTGAAGTGGAATGCCTGGCTCCTTATTGCCTTGTCCCAGATCAGGAGCGCCCCCACAAAAACTCATTGGTTTCTCTCCCCTTCGAAATCATGTTCGGTTGATCATCACTGATTGTCCTAGGCCTTAAAGGGATCTCCACCAAACAGGAGGAGAGATCACACACCAAGTAGTACACCGTGAAAGTTGTTGAGATCACCCCGTGGATTCACCACTCCAGAATCAATCCTGCCTCTGCTCCATGGGAAGTAACGTTTGTTGATCTTGACAACCCTTTGAAACTCCTTTTTAAGAGAATAAAGATACTTGTTGGAGAAAATATCAACAAGTAGGTGTTTTGATGGCCATAATAATGCCTGACCACCTGCCATCGATGGAAAGCCGAGGACCCCAAAAGGAGACCTCTTGAAGCCAGAGAGAATGAGAAGCCCTCCCATCCGGAAGCCGAGGTGCCAACACACGGT